CGGACGGACAGACAGTCACCGCCTAATTGATTTCTCTTTTCATTCTGATCATTTATGTAGACATTTGTCTATATCTATTTCGATTCATTTTGCCTGTTACAAACAACCTTTATGTGAACAAAGTTATAATACCCTTGTGCACTAGTGCGCTCGGGTATAAAAATAAGCAAGGCAGGCGACGCGCAAACGACGCCCTGAATCTTGTTACCAGTCCAGAATTGCAGGCGTTGCGAATGAATTCTAAATATTCTCAAATCACGTAAAAATCAGTTTTTAGAAAAGTGTGAAAGTAGATGGACTATATATGAAATGTATGCGGCAACGATATTGTCTAAACTAGTGAAAAAGTGAGAGTTTGTCTAAATACTAGATTTTCTAGTAAAGAATCCGAAATGCACAGAAAAATGCTTAATTCGTTTATAATTTTCCTCTACACTGTTGCAATTTTCTAAAATTAAGTTATAAATAATGGTTAAACCTTTACTCAAAGTTTTGGATTGAGGTTCCCCTAAAAATTACAGTGCCAAATAAGACTTAATAATAATAATAGATTGGCGCTTACAAATATCTTAGTGTTTGGCCGAGCTTCTCCTCCGATTTGTGGCGTGCGCCTTGATTTTTAAGGAGTTGGCTATATCTTCCAACTTCTCAGAACCAGATTCATAGAAGCTTAAACGTTTGATATTAATGCCTGAGCTTTTGGTAAAGTATTTCAATATTACAGGAAAAGTTTTTATATTTCCATTGTTCGGGGCATCGGTATAATAGAAAAAAGGTGCTGTTTTTGCAAGTCTTTAACGACGGTTTTAGTAGAATATTTTAACAAAACTCGTGTAATTATTTTAGTGCATTTAGTACACAATTAAAGTTCTTAGTTGTTAATAAATCAGGAAAAAGTAGATGAAAAATTATGCTCGAACAATCAGCAGACAGGTACCTGTGGCTATGCATTATTGTATGGTAAGAAAATGCAGCCTACATTTCAATAAAATGTCCATAGGCATGTCAATAAAATTTACTACAAAATTTTCTAACTGGCATACATGTACTTTTACGTCATTATCATCTGGCGGATATGCCACGTCAACCGATGTGATTAAAGTGATTTGTCAAATCTTCGTACTGCATTCGCTGTGCCAAAACCTTCTTTTTCGATCCAGCCAACAAGAGAAATTAAATTTTTTTCTAACCTTTTAGTCAATTTTATTAGAAAATTTACACGTCAGCTAAATGATTTTTTTTTAATAATTTTTCGTCATCTTGCATTTTTTACACCAAAAATTTATTTATTTTTATATATATTTATATTCGCTTTAATGCACCCACGTGCGCACGCTCGCAAGAATACACTTTGTGCTCGACGAAAAAATAATAATTTAACGCATCGACGACTAAAGGCAAAAGATTTCGTCTTGGAGCTACACAGTTCTTGGCATTTACGCGCTTCTCGCGCTCAATTGCTAAAGGTAAATTTTAATAGAGTTTCTTACACGCATAGTCCCAAAACCCCATTTACACCAGCACCATACGTTTTCAGTAGCACACTATACGGTCAAATTTCATTGTCTCATCAAGCGAAAGAAGTTCAAAAGCACACAGTGCCTCCAAAATGTGGCCGAAATTTAGTTGCGGTATATGTTTCTAGGGCGTAGGTAGATTAAAAAGTCGAAATAATCAAAATCCTAGCTGCTCCCTTTCTCAATAAATTGATATTTTCGTGTTTTCAAAGCGAATTGGCGATCTTTCCCCCTTNTTACCAGTCCAGAATTGCAGGCGTTGCGAATGAATTCTAAATATTCTCAAATCACGTAAAAATCAGTTTTTAGAAAAGTGTGAAAGTAGATGGACTATATATGAAATGTATGCGGCAACGATATTGTCTAAACTAGTGAAAAAGTGAGAGTTTGTCTAAATACTAGATTTTCTAGTAAAGAATCCGAAATGCACAGAAAAATGCTTAATTCGTTTATAATTTTCCTCTACACTGTTGCAATTTTCTAAAATTAAGTTATAAATAATGGTTAAACCTTTACTCAAAGTTTTGGATAGAAGTTCCCCTAAAAATTACAGTGCAAAATAAGACTTAATAATAATAATAGATTGGCGCTTACAAATATCTTAGTGTTTGGCCGAGCTTCTCCTCCGATTTGTGGCGTGCGTCTTGATGTTGACACACAAAGCGGAGGGACCTACAGTTTTACGCCGACTCCGAACGGCGATTGTATTTTGATGAGAAGCCGTTTTTCATGGCAGAAATACACTCGGAGGTTTGCCATTGCCTGCCGAGGGACGACCGCTGTTATGAAAAAACCTTTTTTCTCGATTTTTTGCGATGTTGCTTTGACCAGGGTTTGAACCCAGGAGTTGCGGAGTGAAAGCGCGCACTGCTTACCACTACGCCACAGCGGCCGACAAAATAAGACTTAATCATATTAAAATTCAGTAGTAAAATTTACTACGAGTACTAAGAAAATGTCTCTAATTGCTCCATGATTAAAATTTTATAATATTTATTGCACTTAGATTTAGTATTAAAATTTGATCAAATCACGCCTAAAACTACAATCCATATCATTAAAGTTATCGAGTAATATAAAAATACTGGTATTAACTTGCTATAAAAAATTTAACTGGAAATGTGTTAATTCGTCTATAAAAAGCCGAGGTGGATGTTAAGATCCTTATAATAATATAAAGATCGCTAAGTGAACAATAGCAAGTACAAGGTCAAACATATACATACTTAATTATTTTCTGACAGCAAACAGCAGCCATCCGCAATACGCACCTGCACGTACATATATGGAGAAACATTCATCGATGGACATGTGTCGGTAAGTCAATTTAACATTTTATTTCATTAGTATGTTTGACACAACTTAATATATGTATGTAATTTTGAAATTTATCATCGAACAGGGTTGACGTATTGCGTAAAGACTCAGAACTTTCTGCTAAGGTAAGGACATGTCCCGGTTTTAGACTATTTGTCCCGGTGTCCCGGTCCAACCTTAAAATGTCCCGGGTTTCGTTTCAGTGTCCAGATTTTAATTGCAGTAATTTGAATATCAGTTCAAAAATCACTACCAATGCCATTTGTGAAATAATAACTGTACGGGCAAACTAATTTGCTTGTCCGGCGGCAATGCTGAATAAAATAAAAACGCGAAAGAGTTCTGCTTAGGATTCAAAATGTAAAAAATGCCAGTTTTATTTCTTGTAATGTGCCTATTTATACTCCAAGGTAAATACAAAAGTGCATAACGTTATATGCGTCAATATGTATGCCTGGAAATTCCAAATGCAGTCAAACATATTTACTGATCTACATACATACATATAGTTTACCAGTTTGCGAAAACAATAGCAACTAAAACTATGTGCCAAAAACCATAGCTATATGTACGTGCATTCAATTGCGAATGCTTACAAACATACATATGTGCATACATACATATCTACACAAATTTCAAGTTCAAGGGCGAGTAATTAGCGGTTTGCCTAATTTCTTGTTCTTCGATGTTTATCATCACTGTGTTCAGCTCTTCGAAGGTAAGTCGACTATTCGCCATGCTGCGGTGCAAATGTCCCTTCGCTGACTTCACAGCGGCCTCCCACAGGCCTCCAAAGTGCGGAGCCCTAGGTGGAATAAAATGGAAATGTATGAATTCGTTAGTACAGTAATTTATTATTGATTCTTGATGTTTCTTGTCGAATAAGAACGTCTTCAACTCCTGAAGCCTTCTGCTAGCGCCTACAAAATTTGTTGCGTTGTCGCAATATATATCAGTTGGTAAGCCTCGCCTGCCGATCATACGCTTAAGAGCGGCCAAAAATGCATCTGTTGACAGGTCAGACACTACTTCTATGTGGACTGCCTTCGTTGAAAAACACACAAATATTGCCACATAGGTCTTGTATGGGGTCTTGCCTCTGATGCGCAAATATGTGTCGAATGGCCCGCAAAAATCTATGCCACAACGTGAAAATGGCCTTGATGGCGTGAGGCGCGCTACGGGGAGATTGCCCATTGTCTGCTGAAGTAGCTTCGGCTTGTATCTGACGCAATGAATGCAGGATCTCACAATGCGACACGCTAGGTCCCTCGCATTTATTACCCAGAATTCAAAGTTACCAACTTTAAAGCTGCCCACCTTCTGCGGAAAGTACTCTGAGTACAAAAATTTTATCTCATCGTTTATGAGTCTCATCGACAAGGAAGTTACCCTAACCAACATTGAGAAATTCAATCACCTTCTCAATTGTTTGCAAGGGCAGGCTTTGGAGACTGTGAAGGCGTTCCAGGTCACCAGCGAGAACTATCCCAAGGCACTGGATAGATTAAAGGCTCGCTACGACAACAGCACAATGATATTCATTGAAACCATAAAAGCGTTGTTCGAGCTTCCGTCCACTGCAAGGCAGAATGCTTCTCAGTTACGCAGCTTGATTGACAACGTGTCTGCGCTATATAGTTCGCTGTTGTCAATCGGCTCTGACAAAAACATTTCGCATCTATTACTAATCCACCTTGTAATGGACAAGGTTGATGATGAAACGCAAACCAAGTGGAAAGAGTCATTAGACTTCACAACGCTTCCAACATGGGAAGAGTGTGCAAAGGTGCTTGAGCGTCGCTGTCAGTTTTTGGAATCCGCATCTGGCCCTCTCGCATTTGGTGACTCCGTAAAACCAGGCAACAAACCAGACAGCAAGAACAAGTCTTCGCGTAAGGGTTATTCATTTTCGTGCACAAAACGCTCTTGCGACTTATGTTCCAGTTCAGAGCATTTGATTGCCAGCTGTTCACGTTTCAAACAGATGGAGGTTGCAGATCGCTTTAAGGAGGTAAAACGACTAGGTCTGTGCCTGAATTGTCTGTCACCAAAACACCAGTTAGCACATTGTTCGTCGGCATTTAAATGTAAACATTGTGCACGTTCACACCATAGCCTTTTGCATCGCACTACCAGTTCCAATAATGCACAGTCAACATCGATCTCCACATCCCTGGTCGAGCAATTAACGAAACCTGTATGTACAGCAGCAGCACACACACACCGCGAAAAATCGCCACAAGACCAAGTCATACTGGCAACAGCTGTGGTACTTATACGAGATGCATGTGGCCGCTATCAATTGGGTAGAGCGCTACTCGACTCATGTTCCCAGGTGAACTTTGTCACCGAAGAGTTCTCCCAAAAATTGCGTCTACCAAGGGAAAGGCATCGCATTGAGATTCAGAGCATCGGAGATTCGGTAACAAACATAAAACACAAAACGTCAACCACGGTCAAGTCTAGGGTATCTGGCTATGAGATACCTTTGTCGTTTTATGTGACTTCGCACATCGCGTACCAGCCAGAGACTGAAATCGACATTACGTCTTGGAACTTGCCTTCCAATATTGAGCTCGCTGATGACAATTTCTTCAAGTCAACACATGTGGATATACTCATCGGTACAGAAATCTTTTTCGATATTTTATCTGTCGGTCAGATAAAGTTAGCTTCTGATTTGCCATCACTACAGAAGACCCTATTAGGATGGGTCGTCTCAGGACGATACAAAAGGCCAACAACTATTTCGCCTCCAATATGCATGCTTTCTATTGAGGAATCCGTGGATGCAAATTTACAACGCCTCTGGAAGCTCGATGAGGCATCAACGGCTGACCTATGGACTACTGAGCAGCAGAATTGTGTTCGGGAATACATGCAGACCGTACATAGAAACAGCGAGGGAAGGGTTATTGTCAAGTTGCCGTTTAAGGAGGGCCATAACAGCCTTGGTCAATCATACGCTACAGCGCTTCGAAGATTCCTCGCTCAGGAGCGCCGGTTAGCCCGCTGTCATGATCTGAAACAACAATACATCGCCTTTATGGATGAATATCGCGACCTTGGACATATGAGCGCAGTCGAGAAAGTCGACCTCAACACCCCACATTACTATGTACCCCACCATTACGTCTTGAAGCCAACCAGCACCACAACTAAGCTCAGAGTTGTCTTTGACGCCTCGTGCAAAACCACTTCGCAAAAATCGCTTAATGGCATATTAGCCGTCGGGCCTACTCTACAGAACGAGCTGTACATCTTGCTTTTACGCTTTCGCTTGTTTCGTTACGCACTTACAGCTGATATAGTGAAGATGTACCGTCAAATTCTAGTGGATGCAGACGATCGCAAATTCCAACGCATATTGTGGAGAAGTACGCCCGATGACGAAGTTTGCACATACCAATTAAATACAGTGACGTATGGGATGGCATCTGCTCCTTATCTTGCTGTGCAGAGCCTCAACTACATTGCTGATACATATGAAGCTAGTTATCCTATTGGTGCTAGTGTAGTCAAAACGTCATTCTATGTTGACGATCTACTTTGTGGTGCCGATACTCTGGCCGAAATGTCTCGTATCAAATACGAAGTCACGGAAGTGCTGAGACGTGGCTGTTTCACTTTGGCCAAGTGGCATTCAAATCACCACATGTTCCGAGAGGATGACACTATGAAGGATGTTAACTTGGACGAGGATCTGACGACCAGCACTTTGGGTATTAAATGGGATCAGCTTCACGATGTTTTCATATTTTCGTTTCAGCCTAAGCAACCTGTGAATGGGCGAATAACTAAGAGGTCAATTTTGTCCATTGCATCAGCGCTGTTCGATCCTTTGGGACTAATCGCACCAGTTGTTATTACCACTAAGATCATTTTACAAGAGTTGTGGCTTTTGAAGCTGAATTGGGACGAGTCTGTGCCTCAAACCCTACAGTTGGCCTGGGAACGCTTCCTCGATGACATAACTAATCTAAATACTCTCTCCGTTTCAAGGTATTGTGGTGCAACAAGTCATCAATCAATACAAATCCACGGGTTTTGCGATTCGTCTATTCGAGCATACGGCTGCTCCATATACGTTCGCTCCAAGACGATAGAAGGTAAAACTACTGTCACTCTGTTGACAGCCAAATCACGAGTAGCACCAATCAAAAAGCAATCGCTACCTAAGCTTGAGCTATGTGGCGCCTTACTCCTGGCAAGGCTTTTCGCGAAAATCAAACCGCTGTTCATCGCCGACACCCCTGTTTTTCTGTGGACTGACTCACAGATCGTACTTCATTGGCTTGGAATGCACTCGGCTACTCTTTCAACATTCGTGGGCAATCGGGTGTCAGAGATTCCAGATCTCACAACAGGAGCAAGCTGGCGGCATGTACCAACAAAGAGCAACCCAGCTGATGTCGTGTCACGAGGCTGCTCCGTATTGGAACTCAGCGGCTCGATCTGGTTTTCAGGGCCATCGTTCTTAAAGCTAGAATCCGAACAGTGGCCAATTAACGAAGGTGATCAAGTCGACATGGAAGAAGTTGGTCGAGAAAAACGTAAATCATCATTCAAGGTAACTTCTAACGAAAACTATATTTTGAAAGTACTTGAGAGATACAGCTCGTATACGCATTGCCTACGTGTCATAGCCTGGATATTTCGCTTCCATCAAATAACTAGCAAATCGTTTACCATTCATTTCGATAAAGAAACTCTATCGCCTCAAAATTTGCAACAAGCGCTGTGGTGCATTGTTTGGAATGTGCAGCAGCAGCATTTCGCCGAGGAAATTCATGCAATTAAACAAAATAAAGCAGTATCTGGAGCTCTTAAATTCCTCAACCCGTTTCTGCAAATTCATGGTGGATTCAGTTTAATAAAGGTGGGTGGACGTTTGGAGTTAGCAGAGTTGGCAGACATGCATAAGCACCCTGTCATCCTTCCTAGCAAGTGTCATTTCACGGAGCTGTATATTCGACATTTGCACATCGTACATTACCACGCAGGTGCGAAGGCACTTGTGGCACTACTACGTCTTCA